CGGAGGATGGCCTCAGGGGTGTGTAATGAATTCAGGGAGGATCCCACAGCTGCAGAGTGACCCCCGATCCCCCTCCTCACCCCAGCTGCTCCTTTAGGGCTCCCCCGGCAGCCCCACACCACTCTCACCTCTCTGTCTCCCCTCCTAAAACCTCAGTGATGTTGATTCCCATGGGAGTGTGGATGTGGGAAAAACGGAATATGTCCCATCTGTGCCAAAACTTCCAATATTTTCCACATTTCCCTTTCCCGTTGCCCGGCAAAGCTCCCGTGAGAAGAACCCTTGGAAGTTTGCCTTTAAATCAGCACAGAATTAGAAAATATTTTGTTTCTCGTATCCCACGGCCAAAATCCAGCCCGCTGTCAGCATTCCAAAGGCAAAGCGCCCGTCTTTGTTATCCGAAGAGCCGGGAGGGGTCCCGTACCTGTCGCTGTCCCTGGGCTCCACGCCGGCAGTGTGGTGGCGTTAATAACTGAGCAATGGCCGGGAACAGCTCTCGGGAGCTTCATTTGATCCCTGGATACCCGAGAGGAAAAGCCAAAGGCAGGGCTGGAGCTGGGGGTGGCGTGGATGCTTTCCTGCCTCCCGGTCCTGCAAGGAAAGTTCACCTGGGGGCATCCATGGGCCAGGGATGGACCGCGGGCAACACCTGGGAATTTGGGGCTTTGTTGGGAAAGAAAAACTCCTGCAGGGAGCCAAATCCCCTGGAGAGCAGCGGGAGCAGCGGCTCGGCCGTGGCGGAGGGGCGAGGAGGGGGCGATGCCACCGCAGGCGGGCACCGGCCCCGCTCGGCTCCGGGGCCCCGCCGTGCCCAGCGCTGCCCTGGGCAGGACAAGCCGGGAGCCACCACATCCCACGGGAGCTGCTCCGGGAAGCCCCGGGAGCCTGGGCTGGGCAGGGGCAGGAGGGGCAGGAGGGGCAGGGACAGGAGGGACAGGGACTGTCCCAGGTCGCGGCTCCGCTCTGCGGGGGCTGCTCCGGGGGCAGAGCACAAACACAGAGCTCCTTCGGCCCTCTGGGGCAGGGAACAGGAGCTGCAAATCCCGTCTCCAGGATGCTCCAGGACCCCCCGGGCTGCTCAGCTTCTCGGACACATCTCCGTACTCCTCACACTCCCGTTGGGATGTGACACCCGCAGAGATAAACACAGAGAAACTCGGGGACACCCCCGGGGAGCGGTCCTTGTCCAGCTGCCACGGGCCTGCCCATCAGGGAACAAACACATCCCAGGTGCCCCCGGACCCCCGAGAGCCTCAGAGGATCCAGCTGTGCCCCCTGAGCCCCTCCCGAGGTGCCCCTTGCTACCCAGGGCAGGGTATTTATGGTGCCTCTGCCCGGGGAACCAGGTAAGGAGCAGCCCGAGCCCAAATGCTGCAGCTGGGTGGCAGCGATGTCCCCGCGGGGACAGCCAGGCCTGGGGGCACAGGGGCTCTCCAGGGAGGAGCTGAGCCCATTGAATGATGCTGAGGTCCTGAGCTGTAACCGGTGTTTTAGGATAACTCATCTTCGGCATTCCCGGGGGGCATCACCAGAAATTTGGAGGGATCAGGGGGGTGTCCTCTAAACTTTCTGGCCTCCTCCTGCTCCCCCGGCTCACCAGCACCGACCAGCCCGGGCTGGGAAAACCTAACGGGGGAAAAGAGAAATTTAAAAATCTCCTATTGCAGTATTTGGTCACACCGAATTAAAAAAAAAAAAAAAAAAAAACTCTCCTAACTCAAAGCAGCCACAGCGAGCCTGTGATCCCGAGCCTTTCCCGTCGGGAAGCTGCAGCCGGAGCTGCGGCGCGGCTGCCGAGGAGCTGCGCTGACCCCGGGCCGCGTTACCTTCAGCACGGGCTCTGTCCATAAAGCACCGTGCGCGCCCAGGACACGATTTATGGATTGAGCCTTCCCGGCTGCTGCCTCCGCTCCCCGGCGCCGGGCCCGCGGCGCAAGTTCAAGGTTTGTCAGAGCCGGAGAGCCCGGGGGTGTTTAATGGCAAATGGATGTCTGGGGCTTTTATGGGCAGCAGGAGGAGGAAAACTTCCCCGCGGCCGAGCAGAGCTGCCAGGTGAGTGCGGCTCCGTCCCGGCTCGGGAGGGGCTGAGGCGCTGCCCTCCCTCGTCCCGCTCCATCCCCGCCCGGCTGCTCGGTTCCGCCTGATCAATAAAGCCGTGCCCATCGATCCCGCAGCCGCTCCGGCCCAGGAAAACCGGGGAGCTTCAGAGGCGCAGGGAGGGTTTGGGTGGACACAGAGGTGAGGGGAGGGCGACAAGGTGACAGCAGCTGCGGGGCGGGACCTGGGGCGCACTGGGGAGAGCCGGGGGCTGTGCTGTGGGGATGGACGGTGTGTGGGGTGGCACGGAGGGGGGAATGGTGGGGGCCATAAAAAACGGGGTGCACAGACTGAGGGATGCGCGCTGGGAGAGCCGGGATGCACGGAGAAGGCGCAGCGGGGTGGGGGCCAGGTGTGCCCAGCCCCGGGAAGGGATCCCGGGGCGCACCGAGAGGAAGCCCCAGGCTCCCCGGAGCCCCGCACGGCTCCCGCTGCTCCCCCCGGCCCGCGGGGCTCAGCAGCCGGGTCAGGCCGAGTGTGCCCGGCCTGCAGAGAGCAGCCGCCCGCTCCCTTTGTCAATGTCCAGTAATTAAAATGTCACCGTTTAATTTTCAGGCCTCTCGGAGCAATCTTTTCCTAATAAAGAGTCTAATCGAAACGCTCCTTCCCCCGCCTCGGCGGGAAGGGCCGCGGAAGAGGCTGCGGAGGTGCAGAGCCGCCGCGGATCGATGGAGAGAAGCCCGGATTGATCGGCCTCTAAAATTAAATTTATTGGGGTCATGGTTTTATATGGTGCTGATACAACTGTTAAATGGGGAACATTCATTTCCAATAGGAGGCGTTTATTAAACTTCCACTGAATTAGACCGCCGTGATTTATGTGGCAATCTCGGCTCAGCCCTCCAGGAGCGCGGGGCCTTCCGCGCCCGCCACGCGTGATTATTTATTTATACACCCGTGACACGGCTCCCTAAGTTTTAACCTAAATTATCCAGCGGCTTCGTCTGCCAGCGGCACCGGCCCGGGGAACGGGGAAGGATGGGGGGGGTCCCGTCAGGGCGCAGCGCCCACCCCGCCGGCCGCGGCCCCTCCGCGCCCCCCGGCCCCGGGGGTGTCCCCGGGGGTGTCCCCGGTTTGGGGGGCGGCGGAGCCCGCAAACGTCCCGGCTCTCGCGTGCGGCGATCGTTGAGCGTTAATTAGAAATTCATTACAATTAAAAGCCGCGCGCACACGCCTTAATTACATCTGATTTTTAATTCCGAATCCGTGTTTACACAGTAAGCGAGACGTACCTCCTGATTATCCCCAATACTCTTTATACTGTACTAATTATGTAAATTAAACCTAATTAACTGACAAAAACTGCAGTCAATTCAACTGTTAAAAGATACGGCGGTTGCGAGGAGCGGGGAGCGCGGCCGGGGCGGCGGGGCCGGGGTCGGGCCTGGGGTCGCTCCCCTCCCCGGGGCTCCGCGCCGCCGTCGGGGCGAACCGGGGCCGCCTCCGCCGCTCCGGGCTCCGGCCGAGCTCCGCGGGCACCGGGCAGAGGCACGGCCCGGGCAAGGGCACGGCGGATGGAACCGGGGCAGAACCGCGTCCTGCCGGAGCCCCCCTTCTCCTCCCGGCAGCGCCGGAGCGGCCCCGGCGGTACCGGCTCGGTCCGCGCCGCCGCCCGCTCCCGGTGCCTCGCAGCCCGGCGTGGCTCCCGCGGCTCCGCGGGTGTCGAGCGGGTCGGGATCACCCGGAACGCGGTGCCGAGCGGGTCGGGATCACCCGGAACGCGGTGCCGAGCGGGGCGGCGGGGCTCGACCCAGCGCGGGAGCGTCTCACCGCGCTCCTGCCTCCGTACGGCTGGAGGAGCGGGGGCTGGAGAGGATAAATAATTAAAAGGCGAGGAATAATTACCGGCTCGGGTTGCGATCATTGCGGGAAGGCCGCGCCGCAAGGCCCGGCCGGCAGCGCCCGGTCCGCGTCCCCCCCGACGGCGCGTCCCGGGGGGAGCGCGGCCGCTGTCCCGCGTGGGAGCGCGGCCGGAGCTCGGCTCGGCCGCGGAGGAGAAGGGTGGCTCCGCACCCGCGTTTGGCTCCGCGGCGGCTCCGCCGCATGCTCCCGGTGCCGCTGGTGATGGCGGGGAAGGAAGGCGCGGGGGCACACACAAAAGTGATAGCTGGGGGCGATCCGCGCCGTTATTAACTTCTGTTTGATCGCTGTAATTGCGCCGATCGCGGCCGGACGCGATGATTAATTACAGTTTAATTAACGTGGCCGTGACGAGCGCCGCATGCGGGAACCCAACCCGGGCAGGGATGCGGCGAGAGGCCCCCGCCACGCCGGCACGACCGGCGGACACCGGAGCGCCGAGTCCCCTAAGCCGCTCCGCCGGTCCTGTCGGCCGGTCCTGCCGGTGTGGCGTGAGGCCCCGTGGGGAACGAAAAACACGAGCTCGCCCCCCTCTGCCCCCTCCTCCCGGCGATTTCGTTGCCGCCCGATGTCCCCCCCCTCGTCCCCGGTACCGCTCCCTCACCCGCGCCCCGCACCGCAGCGCGCATCCCGGCTGCGAGAGGGATGCGCGGTAGCAGCGCATCCCCGATTTCGATGGGGTCCCTCCGCCGCTCTCCCCGGGCTCCTCTTTTCGTTACCGCCCGCTCCCCACGCAAACTTTGAACGAGCATCGCTCCCCCCGGGATGGCGGCACGGCGGGAGGCGGGCGCGGGGGGGGGGGGGCCCGGGGGGG